TCTATTCTATTCTATTCTATTCTATTCTATTCTATTCTATTCTATTCCTATTTCTATTCTACTTCTATTCTATTTCTATTGTACTCTACTCTACTCTACTCTACTCCTATTCCTATTCCTATTCCTATTCCTATTCTATTCTACTCTACTCTACTCTACTCTACTCTACCCCTATTCCTATCTATTCTATTTCTATTCTATTCTATTCTATTCCGTTCTACCCTACCCTACCCTACCCTACCCTACCCTACCCTACCCTACTCTACTCTATTCTATTCTATTCTATTCCTATTTCTATTCTACTCTAATCTATTCTATATACCATACTGTACTGTACTATACTATTACTATACTAATTATATTCTAATCTACACCACACCACACCACTCCACTCTACTCCATTCTATTCTCTTCTTTCCCATTTTTTCTCAACCATCAAAAATCCCCTCATTTTTGCCACCAAAGCACTGTGGCAATTTGCAACGTACAATACAGGCTCCCTTATGAATATAAACATATTGATTATGTGCCATCAAATTGTTGTCAACTCTTAGCAACCACAAAAATAGATTTTCTCTCTGATGGTCTGGCCCTAAACTGGTTATCCAGATGTTGTTATGATGCCTCCAGTAGCACTGTAATTAAGTCTTTGCTGCCGATTGTCCTCATCTTCCCTTTCCTTCCATTTATAGTGACGTTATTAAGGCAGAATCTGTCTGAATGTTTTGAAATGCTTCCTCCCAATTTCTCCATATCTGGGCTAAGCTCCCTTTTGTGAAATAAGCTGTCACCAGGTTCCTCCTATGCTATCTCTTATTGTTTATGTCTGCATTTTCTTCCATTCATTTCCCTGCTTCCTGACAATCTCTAGCACTTCCTGATGTATAAGTATACAGGTAGTCCTCAACTTACGACCACAATTGGGAACTTCCATCCCTAAGTAATGTAGTTACTGAGTGAGATGCGTCCAATTGTACACCACTTTTGCTGTAATCATTAGCAAAACACAGAGTCGTTAAACAAATCCATCTTCTCCCATTTGCTTGTTAAGACTCTAGCTAGGAAGGTCACTAATGGTGATTGTATGACACTACAACACTGCAACTGTTGTAAATACATGCTGGTTGCCAAGCACCTGAATCACAATCATGTGACTGTCACACTGACTGTGGCACTGTGACAGTCAGAAATGGGAGCACCAGTCGTTAAGTCGCTTTTTCAGTGCAGTCATAACTTCAAACAGTCACTAAACAAATGGCCATAAGTCGAGGACTACCTGTATTGAAGTAGGCATACTCGTACAGTAATAAAAGCTGAATTTAGGATTTGTATACAAGTTAGTCCTAGGGAATTATCTGATAGAACTCTGCCTTTGAGAGTTCGTGGCAATATACTCCTCTCAGATTACCTCGCAGGTAAAGCCTAAATGAGAAATCTTGAGCAAATAAATAAATAGGGAGCTCCAATTAATGCAGAGAGGGGTTTTTGCTTCCTAAAAGTCAGCAGTCACAAACAAACCCCACTGAGACATATGGGAAAAACTGGGGCTAACACAACATTTAAAACAGGTAAATAAAATACGAAGCCCGTTAAGGCTGAGCATATTCTACTATGGACATTTATGTCAATGTTTATATGGAGTGAATTGGGTTAGGAACACATGGCATAACTTATCATTCCTGAACCTGAACATCTTTCTGATGTGTGGGTTTCAACCCCAGAAGTCCTAACAATGGTCAAACAAATTAAGAAGGTCTGGTTTTTAAAACAGCCCAGACTTAGACCATTGCTCCGATTTCTGGTGTTGAAAACCACACATCAGAAAGCTGTCCGCGATGCTGAAGAATAGCAGTAGCCCTTAGACTTATATACTGCTTCACAGTGCTTTTTACAGCCCTCTCTAAGCAGGAGGGCCCCCAACAATCTGGGTCCTC